AATAAACAGTAAAATCAGAAAATATCAAATTATCGTTTTCAAGAATAAAGTTTTCATAATCTGTTGTAATAAAACGTAATCGTTTCAATCTCACCGCATTGAACACTTATCGTGCCAATCAAAATAGATTACGTCATCCGATCACGCTTCACATAACGCTCGATGGACTTTATGAGGATTTTCGACATTCACTATCAATTTCGTCGTCCTTCGTTTCTTCCACTCATCGACGATGGCAACTCGACGTGCTACGTGCGTACATATGTAGAACGTCGAAGCCACAGGTGTCAGCGAGAGCAGTATTTTTCAGCGAGGCCCGTGGTGAGGGTGATAGAGCAAGAGAGAAAAGGGTAAAGAGCGCGCTAAGAGGAGCGAGAGAAATAGAGAGAATGAGAGTGCTTCCATCGAGGTGGGAGGAAAACGAGAGAGGGACGTTTCACCGCGGCAGGGAAACGGCAGCGTGCCGGCACGCACGTTGAATCTGCTAAACGCTCTCGCTCGTGCGTGAAATGCCTCGATATCACTGTTTTATTTCGGCCCGTTCGTTCGTCGCCGTTTTCTCCCGCTTTCTCCGCAATTCCGTCCTTTTTACCCCCGACTGACCGACTGAGTCGGCCGGCGCGCAACCCTTTCTCTCTCGTCGCGCTCTCATGCCCGTTCGTGCAGATTTGATGACCCTCCCGCTATGATTTGACGATGATTCAATTGTCTACAGCCAACTGAAATGAAGCACCTACAAGTTGAGCTTTTTCGTGGCTGGTCTTTCATTTAGTATTGGTCAGCACGTATCCAACACTTGGGGAACGACCAGACTATTAGTTTAACCCTGTCAGACACGAGAAATACAAACCGAACTTTTCTATCTGATTGCAATATCGTAAAAGCATCTGCGTTTTATTAATCGTGTATTTGATTGAAATAGAATATATGATAATTATAATCATAAAATTTTTATAAATTAATTAATTAAAATAATAAAATTTTAAGAAAATTTTAGACGATTGTACAATCTATACAATTAGTACTACAAGCCTATGAGGTTCTAAATTAATGTAGGTAAAAAAGACAAAATATTCCTCTATCAATCACCGTAAGGTGATCGTTTACTTGCATTCTGCACTTCAAATAGAACTCTTTAGAACTTAGGTGTAGTTTCATACACACACACAAATGTAGTTGAGGATTAATTTTAATAAAAACAATAAAATAAATTATAACATAGAGAAAAAGAACGAGAAAAAAATTCAACGTAAAATATAATTATTAGGTATATATTTAAAGCTTTCAGAGAGTGTGCGCTATTAAATTCATAATGTCAAATTATATTCAACTTTAGTTATTTTTAAAACAATGGTGTCAAATGGTTTAAGTCAAGAAAATTATTAAATTTGACACAAATTTGGTTTATTATTTCTAAATGCATACGTTAATATTGGCGATGTTTACTTTGAAACTAACCACAGAAATGAATTGATTTACATTTGAACACACATAGAAGTTAAAAATAACAAAACGTTATTATAATAACGTTATTATAACTCAAGGGATTGAATTATCATTGTTCCTTTAATATCTAACAATGTGTGAGACTTTATCTGATGTACATATTAATATAATTTGTATATAAACATGTTATTCTTGACTACTAATAAATTTGAAAGTTATTAAAAAAATTTGTTACTGTTTTCCAAAAACACGAATCACCATAAAATCGTGCTCGATAAGTCGATAAATTGCAGAGTGGCCCGTTCGGCCAATTTAATTAATAATTATCGACTCGAAGAAGAGCGCCTGGCACAATGGCGATACTTCCTTGGCGTAATCCTCCGAAGATTAACGAGCCCGTACCAGAAGGGACCGCTCTCCGCCTCCCGCCGCTCGACCCTCCGTGCCCCCTTCTGTGTGCTATATCGTCCTCTCTTACAGCCGCAAGACGCCATGGCGCGCCTTGCGGTGGTTGCGGCAAGAACCCTCGCCGTACCCGCATTAACGCAATTATGAATTTGTCGCGTTGGGATCTGACAATACAAGATGTCGCAGCCATTCTCCCGCCGCACCTTCCCACCCAGTCAGAGACCCTTAGCCCGGCTTTCCTCGTTTACACTAAAACCGATTTTGCGGACTATATGGATCGAGACGACGTGACATAAATGCAATTTGCCAGGCCACGTGGACAGTCGTATGCGACAATATGGAGAACACCAGTCATTATTGCGATATACTCGTTAATAAATCATCGTGATGAATCAGATTAAACCGGAAATCATTCTGATCGAAAATGAAATAAAGTAACTACGGCATTTTGATAAATCAAAGACAATTTTAGAATGTTAGCTTTAAAGATTAATATTAACGTACTGCCGTTTGGAACTGAGACAACAGATATACGACAGAAATGATACATCCAAATGTACAATAATACGTTATCCCATAAATTTCAAACCAAATAACATTAGCAGCTGCAAATCCGGCCACATGGATCTTATTTATTATTTATCATACGCTGCATTAAATGTTCAAGAAATATTTTCAGAGTGCTTCGTCCCATCGTCTCTCCCTTACGAATCAATATCCAATGTATTTCGTGCGCCCGCCTTGTTAGCTGTGCCGCTCGTTTTGCGGCGCGGGAAGCGAGTGTAGTTTCGGCGGCCCTAAGTTAGTTTCGAACGGTCCCGTAGCAATAGCAGTAGCAGGCTGCGCTCTCTCTCTCTCTCTCTCTTTCCTTTTCTCTTTCACTCTCTCTGGTATCGTGCGGTAAAGTGCGACAGACGGGACGAGAGGATCGTTGCGGCTCGCCGCAGGCGACTGCTGCGACCTGCTCTCCTCAGCGACAAATTCCTCCTCCTGGTTCGACCGCTTCGACCCCGGTTCTCCTTGCTCTTGTGCGCCTCGTCGCTCCACCCGTCCACCGTCGAAGAGCCGCGTTTCTCGACTTCTCCTCAGCTTATCCTCGTGAACTTGTACAACGCACAAGAAAATCAATCGGCATGGCCCAGCAAGGCGCGAGGATTCCGGCGGCGAGGATTTCTCCCAGTCTGGATTCAGGAAAGGGTCACGAGAGCGCCGGTAAGGGTGATTCTAAACATCAAGGAGGTAGAGAGACTGCCTAGTCAGCCCTTAATATCGTGAGAGCCGGATCCGCGCAAACAAGCCACCGTAACCTCCGGTTAAGCGCCGGCCAAGCCATCCGGTCAGGCCAATGTCGGTCCGACCGCTGCTGGCCCTATTATCGCTAACTAATAAAGGGCCTAATTGAAACGCCGGGCTTTTGTTTCCAGTACTCGAGCGCCGCTCGTCTTTCTGAAAGCGCCAGACCCGGCCGTTTGATCGGTTCTTGAGGTTCCAATGCAGATCGGAATTCAGTAGTAAAGTGGATTTGCGAAAATTGATTGGCAATACTTTAACCGGAAAACTAGACCCTTGATTTCATCTTTTACATTTATATATATATATATATATATACATATATTTACATTTAATTCAACTTCAATCTTTATTTAAAATTATAAATTCTTTGAAGCAAATCCTGTTTTGCTTATTTAAAATAAATTATGGTTCGAACATTCTAGTATATACATATAATAAAATAAATGGTCTCACGCCATGACGCCGTTGTGCTTGTCTTATCGCCAAGACACTACCGTGTCTCCAGATAAACAAAAGTAAGTATTCATAATTATAATCTTCATAAAATCTTAAAAGTTCTGGATATAAATCTCTCTGTGATTGGTAAGGGGAATAAGTCGACGATAATTCAACCATAACGCATAGACAGAAAGTGATCGAGATCGCTTATAATCGCGACCCGCATATAGACGGCGGCGTGCTCGTTCACAACTATTTTCTACGAAGGGGAAAGAAGAAAGTTTGATCGTAGTAAGTGCCATTATTATGAGAGATCACTTTCGACACGATTTTTGCTCCAAACGAAAGCTCCTATACCATTGTCGTGATGTTCTTAAATTCCACGCGCGTCTTACTGGAAGCAGGACGTTCTTCTTAGGAAACACAATCATATCAATTTCCCATATTGTTAAATTATTTATGCGATTCTATATTGAGAGACCATATGTAACAAAAGTGCCGCAAGTACTTTCGAGCATCGTTCCTATTGTTGTATAATTGAGCCTATGAAAATCGTAAGACATAAAAAGTAGTAAAATGATCATGTATTCATGAACAATAGATAATTCTAATACTGAACGTTTCAAAACTTCTCCTTTGATAGAAGATATTATATATTCGATATCATACAAAAAAGATTTTTTCAATATGAATATTTAGCTCGTAAATTATTAAGGAAACTGAAAAATCAGACTGCTTGTTTGTGACAATTTTTTATGATGAATTAAACGTATGAAAGTTTTGAGCGATATTTATACAGCATATAATGAGTAAAAAAATATAACTGAATTTTTTACTAATAGAAACTGCAATAATAGCTGCCACTTTGTTAATTTTTCATATGATCTGTTTTGTATAGATTCACTCTATAGCGGCGAACGTCCTGAAGATTTCTAAGTTAAAATTCGCCATAATTGGACCACCAAGATCTGAAATGTTATTGCAAAACAATGACTTTAATAAAGAAACGGAATATATACATATTATATAAGTTTATATAAGTTTATATAAGTAAATATAATATTCATCAATAAATAATATATTTTTTTACTCTTTATGTATTGTATAAATATCATATTTTTAATTATATCATATGTATATAAATCAAAATTCTTACTAAAGCTTTACGTCTATTTAATATTTCCTTGCGTCTATCTTCTCGGTACATTGGGATGCATTCTCTCACGAGAAAGGAAAATAGATCGTTCGGATATTAAGCAATGAAAAAACGGCTAGGACCATTCTAGCGTAAGCCGAATGATATTGCGCAATAAATCATTTTTCATTTGGTCGCGAAAATATGGAAAGAGAAAAGAAAGAGAGAGCGGGAAGGAAAATAGCTCGCGTGATGCAAAAATAGTAATGTAAAAACTTACCTTGCTGGCGTGCGGTTGGACTGACTGTTCGTGAGAGAGACTGCTGCAAATCGGTCGAGAAGGCAGCCTGCCGTGTTTTACTCAGGTATAACTGCAAAAGGAAACGAATTACGTGAAATTATTCCTCCGACGTCAATCCTAATTTATAAGCAAAGCATTTCTTTAATTACTTGTACTATATTAAGAATGAGTTTTGTAATGCAGAAAGACAGATGTGTCGTGACTAAAGTTGAACCTAAGTGTGCTATTTTGAATTATAAAACGAGCGAATAATTCACTCGTGAACAGCAAATGACAACGTTCGAATCCATTATTTTGATCGTTATTATTAGGACATTGTAAGTGAAGTGTCATTTTGTAAAATCAATACCATTTCTTGAGAGAAAACATATAAATTTAGCTTAATGTCCAATTCCACACGCAACAACAAAATATAAATCAATGTCGTGTATATACTAAAACTAGGACAAATATTCTATTTTTTATTCATGCGTAACGATATATCTTAATTTTGTTCTTATTTTTTTTTGCTTACGATTAGATATTTTTTACGTACATTTATATTTGTATAAATATGCACAGTTATTACAAAATAATGTGTGTATTTATAGAAACTTCACTTTTCATATTTACAATGTATATTATACATAGTACAATTGAATAGCCTATTGGTGAAAGCCGTTTTCTCCACTTGAAACGTTTGTGGCGAGAGCGAATGAACTTATATAATCTTTCTCATTCAAATTATCAATCAAATCTTTTTTTTTAATTAAGAAAAAATTTTTTTATTTAATTAATAAAACGTATATAATATGACATAAGAAAATTTTTATTTATTAAAAAAGGTTTCTATTTATTAAAATAGAATGCACTTGACTGATCTTGCAGCTGAAAAAAAAAAGATTTTAGCTGATTTTGGAACAAGCGTCTGCTATTTTTATTAAATATGTCTAATGGATATATGTAACAGTATTTGCAACAGTAGAGATTTAACTGCTTTTGTACTTTTTTCCTTACAATAGTTGTCTTTTAGAATTAAACCCATTTTTTTTCTCTTGATTTTAAAAAGTTTACTCTAACTATTTCAGCACATTTTTAAGGTATTCAATTTGTAACCAAGAAACTAAGAAATTTATAATTTGCAATATCTCATTTCTTTTTCTTTTTGGATATAACTGCTTTTTGGTTATTTAATTAATAAAGAAATAGTTGTTGAAATTCAATTAATTAATATGTAAATGTAACTATCGAGAAGAGACACGACTCGCAGCTGTCCGAAGCTCGAAGAGGACTAGAATTGCAATCGTATCGAAGAGATTTGGCATCCCGATCACGTGCTGAGGCCAAGATATCCCCTTTAATATTAGGACCAAATCGGACTGACTCGCTTCGGTATAAAATAAAGGGCTGACATGCGAGCACAGCGGGAGAGTCGAGCCAAGCCGAGGGAGAAACCGAAGCGAGATGGAGCTCCGTGAGAGTAACGGAGAGAGGCGTGGAAGACAGGCGAGGGAAGGGTAGCTTCACCACCGCGGTGAGGGATGACTGAGCGAGTCGGTTAAACGGGCGTCTTCTTTCATAAATTTGGAGGGCGCCCCCGGATAAAGGTTTAGAATAAATCGTTCGGCCTGTTATCCACTCCGACGTCGGCGGATAACGCCAGACGAGAGCGGCCCCGAATGGCTCAACAATCCCTCCTTAGCCTTCCCGCATGATCACACGTTGTACTGCTTTGAGACGCGTATTTTGCACGTTTTCCATCTACCGTGAAAAATTTCAAGTTTCGTCAATACTATATTTTTTATTTTGCGCCAAAACAAACGAAAAATATTCAATGTAATGTAAATATTTCGATGAAAAAATTTATAGAGTATACAGAAGGATCCCCTCTTCCAACAACATACATATATTATAATGCGTGGAAAAAATTATTTTATAATAATAAATACTTAAAATTTTAACTAGATATACGTATCAGATAAAAAATAATTTTGTTACATTATCAAAATAATTATGTAGGATGCTGAAACTGGTTGTTAGGATGTCAGAACTTTTTACATTATCATCCTGCTAAAGTATCCTACATAATTATTTTCATATTCCAACAAAATATTATTTTCAAATCTGTACCTAATTAAATTTTTACATACTTCAGCAAAACCATTCTTTCGTATGGATTTAACAAGAAAACCGAACCCATTAACAAAAATATATCGTTTGTTAATATTTATATTACATTTTATAAAATCGCTATAAAAGAACATTTAATGAAGGAATAACAACTAAGAAATGTGTACGCGTATTGTGTACGATAACTTACAGCACGCAAGACTGACTCTAAAATGGCGAGCGTAATATGAAAGTTCAGGCGGGGGTGGCTAGAATGCTCATAAATACATCCTCGAAGATCGCACAAATCGCTCGTTCAAGGCCAATCCCCTTCGACGTTCCCTGCGAGAGATACGAGAGGGAACCCTTCTTCGACCCGCGTAGAAATACGCACGGTGATATTGCGAGTATATGCGAGTTACATGCACGCACACGTGTAACATACACACGAACACAGGGTCCGAATGTATCCCGAATGTATCATAGTGCAAAAGGAAGGAAAATGATGGAAAAGGAAAGATAGAGAAAGAAAGGGTAGAAACAGGCAAGAGCAATGAAGAAAGAGAGATAGGAGGCCAAACCAGAAAGCCAGTCCAATTTCTCAAACCTGTCCAATCTGTGTCGTATGCAAAATCAATCACGCTCTACCCTGCCATACCGTCCTCTGCGGGAGCCCTGGGGGTCCCACAATTTTCAAATCCACCCGTAGCCGCGCGGTAATCCAACTCCTGAAGCGAAACTTCTCGCCGATCTAAGACAGAGTCTCACTATCGAAGCGTCTTTTTCGATCTATTTCGTCTTTCTGACAATTCAGTGTGTACATATACGAGTATGCACAAACATAGATGGATATATTTTATACGTTGGTTAACAATGAATACATATATAACTTGGAAAGTTGAACTTTTGTTTCATATTATATGCAAAAAACTGTTCTTAAGTCAAAAAAAAAATATTTTTTCAATATTTGATATCAGAAAATTAACAAGATAGGAACAATAGTAAAACAATTAATAGTAAAACTAATAGTAAAACAATTTTATAAGTAATAACTTTTAAATCGTAATATTTTACAATAAAAAATAAATATATAATGTATAACAGCAACGTATGTCTTTAAAAATTGTAATATGTATATGTACTATTATAAAGACCTCTCTTTCTCTCTCTAACGAAATATATATCAACTGAAGAATAATATCCTTTGAAGCTGTATTGAGATGCACCCGTAATTCCAGTCAACGTTATAAAGTTTATATTGAGCCTTTGAATCACGGTAATAATATCGTGAGTATGCTCAAAAGGCGAGTCGCGACGCGGAGGAAGACATTTTAAAAAGTAAAATTCAGAAAGTCATTAGGAACTATCGGCGTATCGGACGTTTGTTTCGTCGTCCCGTCCATTGATATGCATTACCTTCGATCGGCAGTCGCGATCATTAAAGGGATCTAAGGGCGCTCTGTAAGGGTTTCAAGGCCGGGTGACCGCCTCGAAAAAGTAATTTGTCCTTTGGGGCACGAACTTCAAAGTGCACGCGGGACGAATGTCCCGCGTGCGGGCATTCTACAACAAGCGGCGTTCTACTTGCGCCCCTTTCTACTTGGCGCCACTGATCAGACTTGCTGATTTTTGCCGTCGCAACGTCGGCGTGGACCTTGTCCACCGGCGGCGCCCGTCAAGGGCCCCGGCTGTCGGAGCTCTCAGCCCCGAGAAGACGGAGAGAAGCGGGAGCGCGCCACGAGGGGTGCCAAGAGTTTAGCATACGCATTTTGTACATTGAAATCTCGACACGTTCGTCCAACTTTAAATTGAAACTCGCTTGACGCCCGCATCGTCTCTCATCGATACTCGTCGTCATCGTCATCACCGTTGTTTGGACGTTATCACGTTGACATTAAGAATTCATGTTGACATCAACACTGGCAAACACTGGAAAAATTTCTAATGCATGCTTGTAAAAGACAACCAAGAAAATTTAATTTTTTCAAAAAATAATTTCACAAAGGAGTATGGAAAATTGAGAAAATTATTAGTACACCGTTCAAATTAAACGTCATGAAACTTGATATAGACGTAATATGAGGTAAAATATGAAGAAATCTAACCAAAATCAAATTGCTGAATGAGTGAATCCTGGTTAAAAAGTAGAAAATGGTTTTGTATGTAGAAATTGATTGTACCACAAAATTTTCCCACTTTTCCATACTCCTTTTAGACATTAATGTATTTTTTATTAAACTAAACTATAATTTTCTATAAAATTTCGGAATATTAAAAATATGTGAAAAAATAAAATTATACCTTAATTTAAAACTTTATTTTTATATCATCAGAAAATATTAATTAAAAGACAAGTTTGTACACAAGAAAATATAATATAATCATGAAGAGAACAAAGTAGAATTTAATAACATATTTATGTGTGTATACGTATATATATATATATATATATATCAGGAGACAGTAGTGTCTCGGCGCCAAGCGCAGCAACACACTACCGTGTTTATATATATATATATATATACACAGAAAAAAGACTGATTGTGAGATAAGAAAAACAAAAAGAAAGCTAATGCTTATAATGATAGATACTATTACGATAATATCTCGACAAAATATTTATAACTTGTTAAAGAGATGAAAACTATTACGTACTATGACGAAATGATACTTGCACCGCCATTTTCATATGATACACAGTTTAAATGACGACGTATATTATGATGATTTTACAAATCGATATGAGCACAATGAATGCCGATGTAATAACACGAAATAATCGACTTCTCGCCAACGAATTTTCAAATCTTGTCGCGTGACATTACGCGAAGGGATAATAGTGAGAGATCGGGCATTTTTAATTAAATAATACTAATCACAGAAGGCAACCCTCCTCTCGCAGGCAAATCTCATCTCGTTCTTTTCCTGGACCATCCCCTCTCACGCAGTCTCTATCTTTTCCTCCGTCTTGCCGAGCTTCTC